TGCAGCACTGTCGCTGATAGCGCCTATAGAGTGTCGCTGGGGGGCGCCGGTTGCTGTTGCTACTGCTGCTGCTGCTACTGCTGCTGCTGCAGCACTCAATCGCTGCTGCTGCTGCTGCTGCTGCTGCAGTGAACAGTATGGAGACTGCTGCAGCAGCAGCGCTTGGCGGTGTTGCTGCAGCAGCTGCTGGTGAGCAAGACAGCTGCTCGCGTGCAAGCTGTCAAGCAGTTGCTGCTGCTGCTGCTGCTGCTGCTGCTGCTGCTGCTGCTGCTTCAGTGCCTGTAGAGCCGGGCCCAAGGAAGCAGCTACAGGGTTAATACGACGGATAGCAGCAAGTCTGCTGTTTTCTGCTGATGCAGCAGCAGCAGCAGCAGCAGCAGCAGATCCTGCTGTTGCTGATGCAGCTGTTGCCGCTGGAGCTGCTGCTGCTGAGCCTGCTGGCAGCAACTGCTGCTGCTGCTGCTGCTGCTGCTGCAGCATGGCGTCTCTTGGATTCGCATCAGAAGATGCTGCTGGGGCGCTGCAGCAAGACCTGTGAGCAAGGGGGTTGAATTGCTGCTGCTCCTGCTGCTGCGGTTGCTGCTGTTGTTGCTGCTGCTGCAGCTGCTGCTGCAGCAAGATCTGTTGCTGCTGCTTCTCCCTGTGTTGGTGGTGCTGCAGTTGCTGTTGCAGTTGCTGTTGCAGCTGTTGCTGGAGTTGTTGCTGCAGTTGTTGCTGCAGCATCTGCTGTTGTTGTTGCTGCTGCTGCTGCTGTTGCTGCTGCTGCTGCTGCTCTTCGCGCTGCTGCTCCTCTTCTAGCTGCAGCAAGCTGTACCCCAAGTGCTGCGGCAGCAGCGGCAGCAGCTGCTGCGGCGAGAGCCCCCTAACCCGCAGCAGGTTTCTGTCTCTCAGAGCTATCTTGGGGTGGAAAGACAGAATCTCCTTGTATATCATATTCTGCAACAGTCTGCAGCAGCAGCAGCAACACAACAGCAGCAGCAGCAGCAGCAGCAACACAACAGCAGCAGCAGCAGCAGCAGCAACAGGGCATGTTCAAAGGGCTGTCGCTCTTTAGCTTGTAGCTACCTGTATCTAGCTGATGGCTAGCTGTATCTAGCAGTGGCTAGCTGGTGGCTGGCTGCAGCTAGCTGCTAGCTAGCTGTGGCTAGCTCGTAGCTAGCTGTAGCTAGCTGTAGCTAGCTGTAACTAGCTGGTAGCTGGCTGTAGCTAGCTGTAGCTAGCTGTAGCTAGCTGCAGCTAGCTGCTAGCTAGCTGTAGCTAGCTGTAGCTAGCTGGTGTTTGAGCTGACCGTTTGCTGGGTAAGAATGCATCAAAGGTCCAGTCGATGGGCTGGGTGGCGGTGGGTTCGTCTTCGTGGCAATACAAACCCTACACAAAAAAAAACAAATAAAATAAATAAATAAAATAAATAAATAAAAAAAATAAATAAAATGAATAAATACAATACAAATATACATTATCATCTTCGTTTTATCAATGCTGCTGCTGCTGCTGCTGCTGCTTCTGTAAGCAGTTCTTTGAGGCGTTTGGCTGCTCTCATACACCCTTCAGGTGTATGTACACCTCAGTGTATGTATGTGGGTGCTATCCTATACTGTTCAGCTGTATCTACACCTCAGTGTATGCATGTGGGTCTTATCCTATACTGTTCAGGTGTACGTACACCCCTGTGTGCATGCTCTGATACACTGTTGAGGTGTACGTACACCGCAGTGTATGCATGTGGGTGTTATCATACACCGTTGAGGTGTACGTACACCTCAGTGTTTGTATATGACCGCTCTCATACACTGTTGAGGTGTACATACACCTCAGTGTTTGTATGTGGACGCTCTGATACACCGTTGAGGTGTACGTACACCTCAGTGTGTGTATGTGCATGCTCTGATACACTGTTGAGGTGTACATACACCTCAGCGTGTGTATGTGTATATGTTCTTACTCTGAAGTATGGATGCCTGAGGGCCTCAATGGCGGTGATTCTTTTGCTGGGGTTAAATGTAAGCAGCCGCTGCAGCAGGTCCAGAGCTTGGGGGCAGGCGCCAGGAAACAAAGAAGAAAAGGAAACACCCTGAAACAAAAAAAAAAAGAAAAAACAAAAAACAGCAGCAGAAAGCAGCAGCAACATAGTGAAACGGCGTATTAATTTTTTTCTCGTTGTTGTTTTTTTTTCGTTTTTTTTTTTATTATTTCGAACTTAAAGCTGAAAAATATGAAATAAATAAAAAAAAAACAAAAAAAAAAATAAATTTTCATAAAAAACAGAAAAAGTTGAATACTGCATGTTGGGGTGTATAGACATACATCTGAGTGTGGGAGTTGATCAATGAACTGTCTATTTATTTTCATTCTTCTTTTGTTAATTTTTTCTGCGGAATGTTCTTGGTTTTTTTCTGAATTTATTAAAAAAGATAAATCTGATTCAGATGGAGAACCACAAATACGTATTATACGCCGCAGCTGATCGTACTGATCCTTCCCCGCAAACAACGCACGCCGCCCCAGCAGCTCAGCCATTATGCAGCCCACAGACCTGCATACGCATGCATGCAGCAGCAGCAGCAGCAGCAGGAACAGGAGCAGCAGAGAGAGCAGCAGCAGCAGACAGAGCAGCAGCAGCAGTAGCAGCAGGAAGAGCAGCAGAAAGAGCAGCAGAAAGAGCAGCAGCAGCAGCAGAAAGGGGAGAAGGAGGAGGAGGATAAGAGAAAAAGAAGAGAAAACAGAAACAGGAAAGGGAAGGGATGGACATGTTTGTACGAGAAAGAAACACAGTAAACCCTAAACCCTAAACCCTAAACCCTCGTTTGTGTTTGTTAGTTGTCTGTCTGTTGTGTTTTTATGAATGCATGCACACAGACACAGCAACACAGCAATGCGGGTTGCACTTTCTGCTGCTGCTGCTGCTGCTGCTGCTGTTTTGTGTGGAACGAACCAAATGTCTACTGGCTTGGAGTACTGATAAGGAAAGATCAGCAGCTCAGGTGGCCGATACCAACGCGTCACCACATAGTCCGTCATCTCCTGCAGCAGCAGCAGCAGCAGCAGCAGCAGCAGAAGCAGGAGTAATACCAGCAGCAGCAGCAAGAGCAGCAGTAAGAGCAGCAGCAGAAGGCTGGCGGTAACCCAAAATATAAATGTGATGAATCTCAGCAAGCAAACAAAAACAGAAAGCAATTAAAACAACAGAAGCACCGCCACACACACACGCAACCAGCAGCAGCAGCAGCAGCAGCAGCAGCAACAGCAGCAACAGCAGCAGCAGCACTAACTTCGTTGCCTGGACTGGCTGCTGCTTCGATGGTGCGTTGAAGAGAAGCCCAAGAGGAGCGGCTGACGAGGCGAGCGCAGGGGCCCCCTGTTCTGCTGCTGCTGCTGCTGCCGTTGCTGCTGCTGCCCGACAGTGCAGCAGCAGCAGCAGCAGCAGCAGCAGCAGCAGAATAAGGTCGCTGCGTGGTTCCGTCTGTATCCATGACGCTCATCTGTGAGTCTCCCAGTCGGTCAGAAGAATCTCCATTTTGCTGTTGTTGCTGTTGCTGCTGCTGCTGCTGCTGCTCCTGCTGCTGCTGCTGCTGCTGCTGCTGCTGCTGAGAGGCTGTGTCTGTGGCGGGGCTGCTCACCCCTCTAGCCAAACCGAAATCACAAATTTTTACATCGCAATTTAAATTAACTAAAATGTTGCTGGGCTTCAAATCCCGGTGAATTACGTTTGCTGCAGCAACAACAGCAGCAGCAGCAGCAGCAGCAGCAGCAGCAGCAGCAGAAGAAACAGAGGGGACAAGTCATTGGAAACAAGAAGACAGCTTCCTGGGTACTTTGTGGTGTTTGCTGCTGCTACTGCTGCTGCTGCTGCTGCTGCTACTGCTGCTTCTCTGCTTCTACTGCTACTGTTTCTGCTGCTGCTGCTGCTGCTGCTGCTGGTAGTGGTGCTGTGGTTGCTGCTGCATGCGTTACCTGAGTGTAGAAAAGCAACAGCAAGAAGGATTTGATAGAGAAAGTATTGATGGTGTTCTTGGGATAGCGGCTGGCGGCTGTATATGACGCGGTGCAGATCTGTGTCCATCAGGTCGCTCACCAGATATATATCCTCAAAGTCTATGCACAGCAGCAGCAGCAGCAGCAGCAGCAGCAGCAGCAACAGCAGCAGGAAGAGCAGCAGCAGCAGCAGCAGCAGGGAGAGCAGCACAGCAGAGCGTGTGTTGGGTGTTGAGAAGGGATATGCTTAAGCCTAAACCCTAAACCCTAAACCCTATCCCGTCCTCCCCTCTAAACCCTAAACCCTAAACCCTAAAACCCTAAACCCTAAACCCTAAACCCTAAACCCTAAACCCTCGTATTTACCTGGCGAAAGAGGGTCTAATATTTCTAGCAACTGAATCATATTTTCATGTTTAAGAGCTTTTAATATTTTTATTTCTCTTAATATTCTTTTGGCGTCAACTAAATCCCGAAACAAATCCCCTATCTTCTTCACCGCCACACGCTGAGCACCCCCAGCCCCCAATACCTCAAAAGAAGCCACGCAGCCGTATGCACCGCTACCAATCTATAAACAAAAAATAAATAAATAAATAAATATAAATGAATAAAACAATATAAAGAAGATTAAATAATACTACAAAGAAAATAAAACAAAAAGAAACAAAAAAAAAAACAAAACAGAAAACAAAGAAACAAACGATGCAGTGCAGCAAGCAGAGCGCATGCAACAGACAGCTCCAAATCAATGGGCATCGAATACTGCAACTGCTGCTGCTGCTGCTGCTGTTGCTGCTGCTGCTGCTGCTGCTGCAGTGTGTATTACTGACTCTCTTTAGATAGCGAAAACGCTGCGGGATGACCCAGGTGGTGTCGCCGCTGATTTGTATGCGGCGCAGCCGCTCCTTCTGGCCTGAGGGGCCGTAGCAGTAGCTGCTTTCTGCTGCAGGAGAAGGTGCTGCTGCTGTTGCTGCTGTTGCTGCTGTTGATGCTCCTGCTGATGCTGCTGTTGATGCTCCTGCTGCTTCTTGGGGAGGATTACACCCCTTCTCAACAGAAGATGAAGGGTGGATTGTATGTGAGGCCGTTGCCAGCGCTTCTGTTGTGTTTGATACTTCTGCTGCTGCAGCTGCTGCAGCTGGCTGATCCTGTTGCTGCTGCTGCTGCTGCTGCTGCGGCTGCTGCTGTTGCTGCTGCTGCTGTTGCTGCTGCTGTGTGCAGCAGGGCTCGCACTGCTTGTGGGAGGCCCCATTGGCTTGCGGCAGCAGACCGTTTGTTGCGGGGCGCAGCGAGGCCCCGTGCGTCTGTGGTATATTCATACGTTCAGGTGTACGTACACTTGACGAAGGGGAAAGAGGTCAGGGGGCTGATGCAGGCAGAGGCGTCAGCATTGGTGGCCTGGCCCTGGAGAGCAGCCGTGACCGGTGGTCTTCTGCTTCTGTTCAGCTGGGGAAAAGCCCCGCTGCGGGTGAGAGAGAGAGAAGCAAAGAACCCCAGAAAGAAACAGAGTGTAAAAAGAGAAGGAACAGACGAACAACTGCAGCAAGGCTAACCAAACGACGCAGCAGATGCTGGCTGCTGTACCGCCCAGCGAGCGGCTCCTCTTGTGCGTTTCCACTTCGAGTTGAGCTGAAAGAAGTCAAAGGTCTTCAATAAAAAAGAATAAAGTGAAGACTTAGACGAATTACTGCCTGGTTCAGGGGTGGGCACACCAGCAACTTGAGCTGTATACACGCGCAGCTATCAACGCGCTGTGTTCGGCCTCTGCAGCGACGTCCGAGAGGTATTAATAGACAAAATAATGAAAATAATTGCGCCAAATGTCCGTTGTTTTCAAATGAAAAACCAAAAGAAAGCAGAAAATACCGCGGCCGACATACAACCGAATGCAGACACTGCTCATGAGCGGTAGCGTCGCCGCAGTAGATGCAGGATCAGAGACCTTTGAGGGTAACTGAAGCTATCAAGAGCCAAATACCAGATACTAGTACAAATAAAAACAAAGAAATGCATAAATTCACCCTCAAAAGGCACTCAACGCTACACACAGCCAATGCCGAAGGCTGCGAACCGCCACGCGGGTCTTGCGCGAGCAGGCCTCTGCCCATCACCGTTCCAGTGATCTCGTCACTTTAGAGGGTATTAAATATGCATTTTCATGAATTTAATTGTTTAATTTATTTGTTTTTCACCCGAAATAACTCGTATCAAGCTATTTATGCAGCCAGTTGACTCAAACATCCCCTAGACCAGCGCGCCTTGAAACCTCGTGGCGGCTCTTCACTTGCAACTATCTGCTCGTAGCAACCAGCCCTCCGCTTAAAGAAAATTACAAAATATAAATAAAAAATATAAACAAAATTCAAATGAAATATATAAACCACATTTAAATCCTCGATAAAATTGAATCTAAGGTATCTACGCGCTGCCCGCCTCAGCAGATCACCTGTGCTACTGTTGTCAGCCCAACAGCAACTGAAACGATTGATATAACAAATTATAATAAATTAAACTCTAAACAATTTGTTGTAAATTTTATTATGTTAAATCCTAAAATGTTTAATCCTCCGCTTGCAGCGAATACAGCAACGGGTTCAGCAGGCCACCGAGGCGGTCAATCGGGCAGCTAACAACAGTTCAACAACAACACAAAAAGTAATACAGAAACAAACAAATAACAGCAGCAGAAGCAGTAGCAACACAATCAAATAAATGTAAAATAATTATTTTTGTTTCATATTAAGTTGTTGTGTGCATATATTCAGTGTCTACCTCTGTTTCCTCTTTCCTCCCTTTACGTTCAGCTTACGACTCAGTTTAGGGCTTTAGTAACAAATGGGGTTTAGAAAGCAATTGAGCGAAAACATAAAAATATAACAAACATTTTTGGGTTTAATGCAGCCTTGCCAGCTTCTTTACTTTTAGTTTAAGGGTTTAGGGTTTATGTTTTTGGGGTTTAGGGTTTAGGGTGCAGAGCGAAAGCTTGAAGGGGTGTCAGCCTCAGATATATCTACCTACTTTCTCTATTCAACAATATACTGCGCCACGACATGCAAATAGATGTAAATCCATCCAAGAAAAACCCGTGGCTACTTGCACCTGTTGTCTGTCTCTGCTGCAGCTGATTCTTTATGTTATTTTCCCTTTCCTTTGTTACTTTTTTTGCCTATTACGTTTCAAAGACAGATGCTGAAACGATGAGCAGAGCAGACAGAGGTACCACGATTGAGGTTTGTTTTCAATTGCTTAACGCCCCTTAACAAGAAGAAAATAGTTTAAGGGTTTAGGGTTTAGGGTTTAGGGTTTAGGGTGTACCGTCGGCCACACCAACGAACATGGCTAGAGGTTTAAGCGACACGAGGAAGCTGTGAACAGAGAAAGCGATAAATCAAAGAAAAAAATGCGGGGAAACAGAAGAAAAACCCAAAAATAAAAACGCTTTTAGATGCATATTCATGAATACACTGCGTACAACACTATGCTGGAGACACGGCAACCAGTGACAGAACTAAGGAGCTACGCGGTCAGTTCTTAATTCAAGTCAACCCGAAAAGGAGAAGTATAATAATACTGAGGATGAACGAGAGAAGGAAAACAAAGAAAAAACACAACATGGTGAAAGCATAACACGAGGCGGGCAAGTGGACGCAATACGCGCGCAAGGGGTTTAACTAGAATAACCAAATATAATAGAGTACAGAAAATTTGAGTAAAAGAGAAACTAAAAAGAAGTCGGGGAGCATAAGCTAATAAAAACACTGAAACACTCCGCTTCTTTCTGTCGTAAGCCCTTCTTACATGTTTGAGGTCTGCTGCTCCGCGCGGCTCTGAGCAGCAAAACTCTGCATTTAAATTATTTAAAAACAGTTGCTTGAACCCATTAAACTATTTTATTTTTATTACCTTTTGGCCTGCAGCCTCAGGTACACAGCGCAGTCAAAAGTTTCGTGAGTAGGAGGAGCTGTTGATTGGTTTGCACGTGTTTCTGAAACACAGGGCCTGCAGCTGCATAATTCTCCAGGGATCTTCCTCAAACATAGGTTCAAATGACAAAAGTATATATATATAATGTATATAAATATAAACAGTAACAATTTTATACTACTTTATGAGCACAAAACACAGAGAAGCTGGTAGAATTGCTGCAGAGGTTCTGCAACTGTCGGCGGTCAAAGATCCTTGACTTCGCCGCGATGAACTGAAACGGCGGGGGTTAATGTCTATCTTGTATTTGGGGTTTTTAGACTCCATCTTATTGAATTTAATTTAAATATTCTATTTAGTTATTGAAATTGAAGTATAGTTGACAGATACATCTATTTTTTTGCTGCTTTCCCTCCTGCTCACCGCGGCTAGTGCACGCTGGAGGCCGTGCGAGGCCGAAGGAGCCCTTCTGCTGCTTCGGTTGCACATCTGAGTTCAGTAAATAAATATGTGAATCATTAGCTTTCTTTTGGATCATTTTGAAGTATTGTTTTTGATATTTCTTTTGAATCAAGAGAAAATACGAAGAAGGCCAGCTTTCCTTCATATCTTTCGCATCGGCGACAGAAACGCGGGACCAGCAACCGCCAGTTCAACAAACTTGTCTTCTTCTTCCTCTCGAGGAACCGAGCCCTGAAAAGTTGGTCATTTTAACTTGTTTTTCTTTGAATTCAATTCATCAGACTTATATATAGATCAGCCGAACCACGGCCATCTGTCCTTCGCGCTCACCGCCGTGTCTGCTGCTCGCCTCTGGCTCTCAACTGCAGTGAATACAGAATTAAGAAGCAGCAAAAACGGCTTTAAGGAGTTCTTTGGCCCTTATTCTATCTATTTCTTCTCTGTATACAGCCGTAGCTTGGGCTTTGCCGGCTGAGTTTCCTTCTCCGTTTCTGGTTTCTCAGCCGCCAGCCAGCCGCGTTTCACGGAGTTTCCGCCAACTCCTCGGAGCCATCGAGCCACTCTTTGTTATATTTTCTTGTTATATATATTTGTATCGTTTTCTACGGGTGCAGCTTCTCTACTTCTTTTGCTGTGCTGCACTGTTGAGAGGATATTTTGCCATTTGGTATTTCTGGTCTTGTGCTGAATCGGCACATAATTTTACACATTATTCTGGTTATATTTCTCTGAATTTGCTTTTATATTTCTCTATCTCTCAGCTCTATCTGCTAGAAATGAGTATGGAGCGCGTGGTGCCGAAGATGCGAATCAATATGCCTCTCGTAACATCCGAGCTGTTCTTCTCTACGGACGAGACGGCGGCTGTGCAGCCCCTGGAGGGCTCCGAAGCAACAGAGCCAGCAGCAGCAGCAGCAGCAGCAGCAGCAGCAACAGCAGCAGAAGAAGAAGAAGCAGCAGAAGGAGAAAGAGCTTCATCTCCTTCCATTGCAGCAGCAGGGGGAGAAAGCAATGAGGGGGCCCGGTGGTTTACAGCTGGAGAGGAGGCGGATGACGAGGCCGAGATATATGTCGACCTGAGCAGAGAGCTGGCAGCAATTGAGGGAGCAGAAGCAGCTTCTTATTATCTTTCTGCTGCAACAGCAGCAGCTGCTGCAGCAGGAACAGCAGCACGAACAGCAGCAGCACAAGAGGACGATCGTCTTGGGGTGCTGCTACATCCTGTTGAAAGTTTCTCTTCATCACGTTTCTCTGGCTGGAGGGACGAGAGCAACAGCAGCACTGTTGCTGCCAACAGCCGCCTGTGGCATCAGCAGCAGCAGCAGCAGCAGCAGCAGCAGCAGCAGCAGCAGGTTACGAATGAACCATCCCTCTACCGATCAGCAGACTTCCCGAGGCAAACGAAGGGAAAGCTGAAGGCAGCAGCAGCAGCAGCTGCTGCTGCTGCTTCTGCTGCTTCTTCCGCTGCTGCATTCGGCTCGCGCTGCTGCTTCGCTGCGTCTTCGAGGCCGCCGACGCAGAGCCGCTTCCTCTTTGAGCAAGAAGAGCGTG